GAAGTATTAAAATGTTGATTCCATGTCAAGGTAACAATATTGTAACCTTGACACTTGATAAACTTATATAAGTTTATTAAATTTTAATTTATTTTTCAAGATAAATTAAAAATAATAATTTATATAGACGGTATTACCCCTTGATATTGTCTGGTTATTGCCTTCTAGCATACACTAGACAATAATCAATTTATTCCATTATGATATCATTTATCATAATTTTTTAATTATTATAATTGATAATTGATAATTGATTTTTTGCAAACATTAGAGCTAATTTTATACATGTAGGAGAAAAATGAAAGTGTTGTTTTTATGAAAATAAATTATTATATTATCACTAAGTACTACATTTTAAGTAATGATAATGATGATCATGTTTCTATGCAACGGTGTTTTATTCAGAACTTTAGCTTTAAATAAATTCGTGTGATCAGTATTATTCCGTGGTCGATATTCTCCTAGTCTCCCGTAGTAGTTACTTAACAAATATAAGTTAAAAACAAACAAAAAAATATAAAAGTTAAATTCAGAAATTCAACTTAATGCCAGTGTATAATACTTAACGCGTATGCGTTTGGGTAAACTTTTGCATCAAACTTAATCTCCGTCATTGTGTAACTTGCCAAGAACTGACATCATACATCGCTTTTTATGTTTATTAATATTGATTATGTTGATGTTGTTCAAATTTTGTTTTGAGCAATTTTTTCCATTATTGTCAAAACATCTTATTTGGATATCCGTTCAAAGGTTTTAAATCATTCGGCGAAAATAATATCGCTCATATAGCTACTATTTTCACTTGTATACATCTTGAAAGTTTGATCTGGTGTCAGCTTTTGACATATAAAAAATTAAATGTCAAATAACTGATTATAAATATACTTTTTAAAAGAAAAACCAAATATTTAGGTGTCTGTAAAGCCTACCACATAAAATAATACAATAATACTTAGAGATTTAATTGATTATTCTTAAAAAATAATTTATTTGTATAATTTTAAGTCAAAGATTTTAAAAGGAATATGATATAATGAACAAATTATCTGCTAAATTCATAATATTTTCGAATTTGATGCGTATAAATTATGCAAAATTACTATTAAATTATTAGATTATGGAATTGCTATGATTTGCTTATTTGTTTCAATTACGTTATTAACTTTTACATCTAAAATTATCAAAATTTAAATCAACTCAACCATAAACATTTTAGACCTATTTTATAATTACTTAAAAATAATTAATTGAATCTACAGATTGTATAAGGAAATCATTGCTGAATCATTTATTAACTTTGGTGAAGAGTGCTTACATTTTATAAACAACAAATTTTCAAGGGAAAAAACATACTATTACTTTTTATTGACAGTATTAGAGTAGTTAACTTCTTTAAAAATGTTGTTCATAATAAAAGATTTTTAATTAAACACGTTTTGATATTTCCTATAACTTTCGTCAAAAATACTGTAACATTAAATTCTGATCACTATGTATAAGAATTTTGAATGGTACTATTATTTTTCATATTTTTCAATATTTTTTAGGTTTTACAAAAATGATATTATTTTGTGATCCACGTTAAATATGAAACTTTGATATGATTTACAATTATTCAAATTACAGTCTAATAATATTTTAGCTTAATAATAATTAGTGTTTAAATTGTATAATTAGTCTTTTTCCTTATTTTTCAACTTGCACATTTTGATAATTTAATAACATTTAAAAAATTAATAAATATAAAACAATAAATATACAATTAGAATTAAAAACGTAATAATTATGAATAATAAGTAAATTATCTAAAAACTATTATAGCTTATAAAATTGTACTAAATTAATTTACAAATAGAAAATTCCAATCCGAGTTATAGTGCATATTATTCATTACAACTGGTAAGATATTACTAGACATAAATAAGTGTTAAACTGATCACTTTATTTTCATATATCACTTTATCAGATTATAAATCTTAGAGTATACAAAATAAATACAATTGATTTATAAGTTTAATTACTTTATCTCTTTATTACTTGATATTTTTTATAGATGTATATTAAAAAAATAAGAACTACATAAATGAAGCAAAAATTTTTGTTAATTATTTAGAAATCATCTCATTAAATGAACTATAAAAATATTTAATATTAAATTACCCCCTAAAATTTAGTTTTTAGGGATTAACTGATACTTCTTCAACTTCAAAGGCCATTTGATAGGTTTCATAGCCTTGTCATAACAGTTTCAAAATTTCCACAGCACATTTTTCTTAATATTAAAACAAATTCAAGAGGTTCCAGTTTGAATATTTTATTAAATATTTTTGTTTTTGGACCGCTCTTATACATATTTTATACTATTATACTATACAGATATTTTTAGATAAGTTAATTTTGAAAAAAAATTCAAACTATTAATTCTTCAAATATTTTTTATTTTACTGCAATGATTGTGTAAACCATAAAATTAATAGGGAATCAACAACAACAATATTCAAGAGTATATATTTTTATATAATAAAAAAATATTAAGAGCGAAATTAAACCGTTAGCACCTACTATTGTAACTACTATAATTGAAAAATTAACCATGCTCACATAATATTTGAATCAAAGAATTTTCAATATTTAATTGAATAATAAAAATTATATTTTAAAATAAACGCTGCCCTTAATATGTGCTTAGTCGAAGACGTCTTTATTAACTCATCAGTTTCTATAGGCAGTTCTTACCATAAAATTAATCATCGTAACTTGGTCCCCGAAAAAACTAATCAGCATTAATAAATCTATAGTAGGGTATTTAAAAAATTGGTGAGCTCAAGTCATATTACATATGAGAACGATCATCCCTATGCAGTACCAATAAAGGAGCGAGGCGAGTAGGGCACGTGTCCCGGGAACCGCCGTAAAAAAGCACAAAGTAGTGACGTAATTGAGAATTCGTTCAGAGGAGGATATATTTTTCATAACTCCCTTCAAACGGAAACAAAATTACATCTTCAACATAAAATAATTTTTTCTAAGGTGGATCTGTGTCTTTTGACCGCCTTCATCTTAGCATTGGAACTCCACAAAACCTAGCGCTATGCCTATCATGAATTTAATCAATTAATTTTACACAAGTTTTAATAACGAAAATTTCCATGAAATAATTATTGTCAAACACATCAGTTAATTTTTACCCATTTCTGGATTAATGAAAATGATTATTATACATAATTATTATTATTATTATTATTAAATACTACAGCTTTAAACATATTTTAGAATTCTTCTTAAATATATTTTATTGTATATTGAAACATAAAAAAGATGTAGTTTCATCTGTGACATTGAAAGTTCAAGTAAAAACCATACTACTATAAGTCCTATTAGAGTTTTCTTAACTCATAGTAAATGAAGAACACATCATTATTAAACAAAACCTATATTTCTTTTTCACATAAAAGCAAAATAATACTTCTATTTTAATTATTTTACTAAGTGTATCTATTATTAATCTTACAACGAAAAATTGGTAGTCTTCTTCTTCTTCCTCGCTTTAATCCCAACTACTTGGGGTCGACCACCCTTATCCTAAACTTCCACTTGACACGATCTCCCACATCCTCTACGATCACATCAGCTGTCCTCATATCGCATTCAATAACATCTCTCCATCTCTTTTTTCGTCTTCCTCTACCTCTTCTACCTTCAACGTTCATTTCTACAACTCTTCTTACGGCTTCCGATTCTTCTTTTCTCATAACATGACCATTCTAAGTCTATTTTCCCTCATCTTATCCACAATTGACGCTACACCTATACTCCCTCTCATATGCTCATTTCCTATCCTATCTTCTCTAGTCATACCACTCATTCATCTAAGCATTCTCATCTCTGCTCTACTTTCTTATCAACCGTCTAACACTCTGAACCCAAAAACTTGGCTATAATAAATACATATATATATTCTAAAAATGAACTTTTACGGTAAAACATAATTATTATATAGGAAGAGCGCTAAATACTTGTCTAGAGTAATAAATTAAATAATACCTCTATTAAATAGACAAAGGCTTTTAATTAGAATTTGTATATATTGAAAAGATGTTTTAACTCTAGATCATAGAATTAAATATGTGCAACACATTATTATTAACTATTATTGTAGCTTCCAAGATAAACATCACTATTGCATTAGACTGACAACATATAAACATATACACGTTCTTCTCATCATATTAGTTACTTTTAACTAACTTAAAGTTTTCGGTACATTTAAACTTTAATTATCTTTATACGAAGCCCATTGAAATTCTACGTTTTATAAACTTATCAGAATTTTCACATACGTGTCTCAAGTTATACTACCAAATTATTCGTTGCAAAGATAAATTCCTTAACCAAAGATTATAATTAAATACTAAAAGTAAGATATTTATATGAAAACTGAGAATAATATCAAAAATAAGATTGTTGTTTTAACATGAAAATGTTTAAACAAATTAAATAACGGTTAATATCGGATTAAATAATTTTTACTAGACAAAATTCAAAAATAAAAGTTTACAATTCACATAAAAATATATACTAGTTTTTTTTTTTTGATAAAGTATAGTCCTTTGGCTTTGAGTGATCATTTAATAGTTATCACAAAATGAGCCAACTTGTAGCGGTGTTTAAACTTAAGGCAATTAAATATCTATTATAATTTTAGTTGTATCAATCTGCAGCACTAGTAAAATATTTACAAGTATTGTTAAGAAACACAAAATATTTATTTACAAAAATTATTTGATAAAATATATTTAACTGACCCAAGTTTAATCACTGTCCCTAGTTGGATCATTTAACGGTACTTAGTTTTCAACCATTCACATATTTTATACAATGGACCAAACGATTTTTAAAATAATAATACTAATTTACCCATAAAAATTTTCAATTTTCTATTCGAAATAATTTATAGATTAAAATTTTTTGAAATAAAGCAGGCGTACATGACTCACTTATATTTAAACGATTTGTTCGTTAAATAGAAGATCCTTGAAAGACTTTAGCCACTCACTAACTTTTATTTTATTTTATTATTATTTAACAAACCAACAAAAAATCACACAGTATTATAATAATCTTAATAACTTAAGCAAAAAATTTTTCTTTAAAATGAATTTATTAAAAAGAAAATACTCAAAATGATCGTGTGTATCGCACAATTAATAGTTTAGTTATTTGTCGTTTATATCACTTGTGTACCATACGAATGCGCCCCGAAAACTGTTATTCGCCGGCCATCAAATAACGGCGTGCCAGTGAATGCCGTTGAGAATTTTGAAATCGATTATCAGCATTCGCCATCTATCCCAAAAATGGGAAAACCAACTCCAGACGTCGTTAACTTATATGAAGGTAGTATCTTGCATTAAATTATTGTACATCACTTTTAATGCTAAAATTTGTAATTCAACATATAAATTATTAACCTCAATCCATTTAACAAAAATAGGTACAAATACAAACTTAATTTTGTTTGCTCAATATTGTTTATTATATCGGTAAGATTTCAATTCAAGTGAAGTAAATAATTAGATTCCTTAATATTATATGGCACTGTCAAGTATGTTTCCCTTTTATTTTTTTAACTATTGCATAAAAATCGTTTTAAGCTTAACTAAAGTAGTGTATGCTAATCTTAAGAAAATTTCATTTTCATGCATATTTATAAAAATTACAGTATTTTTACTTAATTAAAATCAACATAAGCTGTTATAAATATTGCATCGCTATGATGTCATTTTTATAGATAAAAATAATCTTTCAACAAAAAAATTTACCCTCCAGGTATACTTTAATAAATAATTTTAACGAAAAACTGCTTTTAAATGCCCTCAAGATACTAATTAAATTTTATTTATTATATCGGTATAAATGCAATTTAGTTCTCACAAGACTTTTTCGATTTTTTATTTACATTTTTAATATTTTACCTTATAAAACTTTCATAAAAACGACATAAGAAAGAATATTAATATTGTGCGTACGACTTATTAACAGCGTTGTATACAAACTTTAAAATATTAAATTTTTTAACAGTTTTCGACCACACATTTTATTTTCTATCAGTATAAAAACCTAGTCGGTTAATAAAAAAATTTAAAATCGTGTGGGAGCGCAATTGAATTTATATCATACGTCTACCACATTATTAATGCTAAGAAATATATGCATTTATGATTATTTTTTAAAAATTAGTGTACATTTTTTTTCATTTTAGGGAAGACTTCTAATTATACTCAATACTATAATCTGGGTAATTACACATTACTAAGTTTTTAAGTCAAATAATAAAAATTTGTATTGGCTAATAGTATATTCAGAATACTTTAACAGAATTTATAAATTTGTAGAATTTTATTATTAAAATGAAATAAATGCATAATAATTCATTACAATTTTTTACATTGCATCCAACCACCTGTAGTTTATTTTGTCTCGGTACAATTAAATATACTTATTTAGAAAATTCAATAAATATTTTTAAAAAGCTATCATTGCAAATAACCATTCACAATTATAGTATTAACGTAGCAAATATTATTACATAATTTAAATTATAAAATTACTGATTTGCACAAATATTGATACAATCTTATCTTTTATGAATTGATGATCTGATTTTTCAACTATCTTATAATCTTAATATTAATTTAATATCATTCTGAAATAAATGAAACATCAAAATATATTAATTAGTTAAAATAATGACCAAGTTTATCGAATGAGAGGATATCTAATTCCCTGTCTTACTAACAAATATTTTATAATTTTAGATCACAATTTTTTAATACATAATGCAACTCTCCCCACCCTCAATAAAAAAAGTCACTCTATTTTAAGAAAAATATATTTGCTAATTTTTCACTTTTTAGCTTTGAGACGACACTGATTAATGTATTTGTATGTATTAATAAAATTTCACTCTGATAATCAAAATAATACTTGAAAAATAATTTACTAATATTATAACTAGGTTTAGGGACTTAATGCATTTATAAAGCTTATTTTAGTCATCCTAAGTAAATAAAATAAATATATATTCACATAAATATTTTTCTTGTCTATAATTATTGTATATTAAAATGAAATTTAGTTATTGTGTCATGTAGGTATCACTACCCCAAAACAAAAAGTATTCCTATGGTACTGTGATTTTTAAAGATTTGTATGTCTCAGAAGTCATCAAAACAAACTTTATAAATGCTCAATGTCCCGAACTCTAATTATAACTCAATATGATGAAATTCCTAAGATAACATTATATTTTTAATGGCACTTATGCTGGATGATAAAACTTGAAAATAATATAAATATTATTTTTCATAGATAGAAAAAAAAGGTAGTATTTATTATGCTAGAGAATTTTTAGGACAATCATTAAGATTTGAGAGGCTCAGGAAAAATTTAAACATAATATATATCTTTTTTTTCACAGCACGAAGCCATAATTTAACAAAAAAGTACGAGGCTCATGGCACCCCTCCTAAGAATTATCTTAATTTTTTACGCATATATGTAGTAATTTTGCATATTCATTACGCCTTAAAAGTGTATATATAAAATGTTCAGTAAGGGAAACGGGTTTTTGTTGTTCTCATTGTTTATAAAAATTGGCCTTTTCCTTACTTATTGAACACTCTGTATAGTATCCTTTTTTATCAAAAATTTACTGATATATTTGTAAATACTGTAATTAATTAATCAGAAATCTTACTGAAAAATTAATTTCCTGAAATTCAAAATGATTATTTTTTTACTACTATATTGAAATATTATTAAACGATGAACATTATTTATTTAGTAAAATATATTTTTGTGACAAATCAAATAATTATATGATTCATAGAAAACAATTGCTCTTAACAAATGACACTGATTACAGAATGGGCTTTCCTGTTACACATTTAATTTATTATTCACATGTTCCTATTTTTCGGTCTTAAATATTATTACATGAAAATTAATAATTTTATTTGAAAAACATATAATTCCCTATGCAAAACATAGACTAGATTTTATAGAGTCAAACACTATAAATAAACTATCGAGTCTACGTTTAAAAATATACAAAGAAACTAATTAACATTGAAGGAAAGTTACTTGCCTCTAGAATACTAAAAATCATTGGTACAATCTTTATTATAAACCTTTTTACGAACACGATATGATTAATATTATCAAAATCAAATGTTGTATTATCTTTAAATATAGTTATTCTGTAAACAATAAACAAACCAACTGAGAACTCATGTAATATTAATCAATTTTTATAATTTGATTAATATGATGAATACGGTTTTATCATTTTATCATGTAATCCTGTTTTGTTTAAAACAAAAAACAATTATTTGTTAATTTTCAATTTTTTTTTTCTTTTTTCTACATATTTTTAGAACACCGTGTTAATTAATTAATTTGCAGTCGTTTTTTTATTTCAAACTTAGTAAAATTAATGAAAACAATTTTTCTTAATTTTATCAGTAACCATAAATTTAAATTAAGAGTATTTGATTTTTATTAAGTTTATGCTCTTTAAATTAATATACCTTTTATGGATCAACTAACATGTGCACATGAAAGAGTTATAACAATAATAATTGTGTATCAAAAATGTTTCAAATACCTCAAACTATAATACAAAAACATTGATCTACACAACTATTAAAGTAAGAACCCATATTATATATTAGACATTTAGCCAAAAAAATTTAAATAGAATTACGTAATGTATATCTATTATTAGAATATATTTCATGATTTTCCACTTTGTGCATAAAACAGTATTTATGCAGATATTTGTAGTAACATGCAATTCCTAGAAAATGTATTATATTGTGGTGTAACTTGAGCTTGATAAAACACCTTTTCATATATTTTAATTACAAATTTATTTATTTAATCTTAATAGTCATTAAGGTTTTGAAATTTTAGATCATACTAAGAGTCGCAATCTATTTTGATAAAATGTTTAGAATACGAAGTTTTAATTCATACATAGAATATTGTGTTTTTTTGGAATTCAGTAAAATAGTAGTATAAGCTCTGAAAGGGAAATTAGCATCTTTTTAGTGTTATTTCACAGCATCAAAAAATAAAATTAGTAAAACACAAAACATTCATTTTTACGATTTTTGCTTCAATGCGAAGCTGAGAAGTTATTAATTTTATCATGATATTTTTTTTTTGCGTCTGTCGCCTTTTTTCTGATTTTATAATTATAACAAAGACTGTAGGAATTTCAACTATCTAAGCGATATTTAATATAACTCGAACACTTTTCATCTAAATATTTTGACACAATTTAAAAATTTATACATAGGCTACATAATGTCTATATTTCAAGTTCATTAAATCAATATTATTAGATGCGATGTGAAGCTCAGAAGGTATTAATTTTACTAAATTGTGTTTCTTTTTATGTCTATCACCACTTTTTCTGAGCCCTCACCAGACCGATTACTTTCAACGATACGTCAAAAGATCATAAATCGTATCTAATAGAAGTCATTGTCTACAAAAATTTTCCTCATTCATTGTAAACGGGGAAAATCCGCAAAAAAATAGGAATTATTAAACTTTGGTTACTTAAAACTGTCATAACATATTTTAAAAATAAATGAATCTTAATAATATTCATTTTATAGATACCTTAGGTATTTACTTTTCATTGTAAGTTGGCTTTTGGCATTGTCTAGAGGAAAAGGGAAACACGTGCTCTCCACACATAAATAATAATAAATTAATTTATAATAAAAAAAAATGAAATAAAATAATTAATAAAATACAGCTCATCACGTAATTATAATTATAAAACAGAAAAAGATACTTGATAAAAGTGACAATAAGACAACAAACATGTGCACTTTAGCACGGCCAATGACAGAAGAAAGATGGAGAAGAGCCAACACCGATCTAACGGCAATTTCAAATCAATAACGGCTAGTCTTTTTGGGGGGGATTAATACCGATAAACAATTAGATTTTAATTATATTTATCCTCTTTTGTCGCCTAATCTAGCGGTCAGCGGCAAAAATAATAAATGGTTGACACCGCTGTACCAGGAAAAGGTTCTTTCACGTGATAAAATAAATAAGTAGACATAACAAAAAATTATAAACGGTCCATCTTCGAATTTGTGACGTTATATCATTAAATATATTTTTTTCGAAAATATGATATTTTACCCGGCCATTGAAAAAATAGTAACTTTTGCTTGAAAAGTTAACCGTTTCAACTTAACTCTTCGAAATGTTCCCCAAACACTCCAAATTTCAACACATAAGTTAAAATAATATTTTATATTATTAATTATTAATAATTAAATATTTAAGTGTTATAAATATAAAAAAATTGTCTCGACGACTTGACTTATATTATATCTGTAAATGACTTCCATAGTTAAAAAATATTATAATGTTAAAATTCTCAACTTTAAATTGTTATTACTATTTGAAAAATGTATGGATTAATACAAATTGTTTTAGAAGTACTCCATACATATTATAATCATCCGATATACTTTATTTTAGTAAACCATTTCTACTTATACATGGTTGGTTCAAAACTTGAATCATATTTATAGAAAGTAGAACTTTTTCAACATAATTTTTGAAAATGTTCCGAAAATACTCTTAGATTTAAACATATGTTAAATGAAAGAGTAAGTTACCTACTATAAGTTAAAAAAAAATTTGTCCAAACATTTTATCTTCTACATAACAATTCCCCTTAAAAAATAATTAAGTGTTGATTATAAATATTTTCATGGAGAACTTTTGCAGCTTTTAATGACAATGCAATAAGTATATTAAAAAGAAGGAATTGCCCTTACAAAAAAAAAGTTAAAGCTATAAAAAAAAATTGTTAGAAATATAAAATATTATAGGCTTACCATAAGTTACAATTTTAATTACTTGACTTTAATAATAATTGATTAACGAAGGTGAATTAATCGAATTAATAAAGTTAACTTTTTTTTCGATAAATCAATACTTACGCTTTTGATACACTATTGCCATTTATGTAATTACATACACAAATATTTAATAATTTCTCCGTGAAAATTTTATTAAAAAAATATTAAATATCAATTTCATAGTAAATGTAATTTCTATAATATGTATTTATTCTTGTATCAAACTTATAAATCATACAACAAATAATCAGGATATAATTAAAGAAAACAGCAGTTGATTGCCTTTAGATAAATTTATTAGTTTTTTCTAAAAGTTTAACACTATCAACAAGTTTGCATCGAAGCATTTTTTATGATAGTGATTTCAGTGTCAGTTACCATCTATATTTGTCAAACAATGCTACGTTGATACTATGCTAGTTTTTTTTATTATTTTATTCTAAGAGAAAACCTTATTAACTTTCTAAAATGTAAATAAATTTTTAGTTATAAGTACACAATCTGAATTTTAATTTAAGAGATTGATTGATTGCGAAGTTAATAATTCCGTATTTAATTTATTCTACTGATTCAGGCTAAAACTGTTCGATAACAACCGTAATTGAGAGACGTGGTAATGTTAAAAGAAATTATCTCAATTTTTTTTAGACTATTTGAATGTAAAAATACATTTTTAATCTTCCAGTAAATTATTCCTTTATTTAAATTATTAAGCTAAATTAACTGTTATTTTAAAATGTATTTAAAAGACTTTTGAGAAAAAATCGAAATTTTTCATTTTTTTGTTTGCTGTATGAATTATATTTATAATATTCCTCTTAGTTAAAGTTAATGTACCTTATTTAATAGTCATTGGAATAAAAATGTTTTACAGTACTCATTATAAAATAAACAAGTTGTCAAAGTAACCACACAACTATTTTAGTTCTATTGTAAATTATGATTAACATGAAATTAAAAAATATATATATATCTCAATATAATGAATGAGTTTTATCTGACATCTGACTTTAGACAGACCGGCAGTTTTCTTTAAACCTTTTATATCGGAAACGGCGATACCGACAAGAAGATTCATAAGTATGATGTACAGAGTCGGTGTAAGTAGCAAAGTGTAAGGACGACATGTCATCGACGCGAGCGTGTGGACTGCAACCGGCGTTAATTAAACGCTTTAGACATCGCACGCAGCCGTTTAGGGCACTTATGTGTACGGCGCCATAACCCCTAAACGGCAGTACATAATCTATGTTGGTGTCGGCGTTGACTAGGGTTTGAACAATGTCGCACTTGTCCAAGTAGCACGTCCACAACAATATCAAGTTTTTCAATTGCTGAGGACATCTTTTCAACACCGTCAAATCTGCCTGGTCGTTCTCCACCTCTCGGAGAAACTGAAAACCATTCGTGAACACTTTGGACGCGTCCAACAGACACTGTTTGACCATTTCCCTGTAATTGTTCACGCTCAACTCGTTGGAAAATCTACGGCCGCCCGACGTAACCGTTGTCTCCGTACCGCTCGGTTCTTCGACCTCTTCGACGAGATCATTGGAATAAAAATGTTTTACAGTATTCATGGTTTAACAACTTTATTATTATAAAATAAACAAGTTGTGCAAAGTAACCACACAACTTTTTTAGTTCTATTGTCAATTATGATTAACATGAAATTAAAAAAAATATATAAATAAATATATAACTTAGAAAAGTAATAAATATCTGAGTCATACATAACAATATAATTTTTATTTATATGCTTGTGTTAAACGTTTTTTCAGGAGTGCTTTAATATTTTTTCCATAATTGCCTCAAAAAAGATAGATTATGTACCAATTCCCCCCCAAAAAATGTTTTTGACATATTTTATGTGCATTTGAATCGAAGCGTTTTGTTATTGTGATATCAAGTTTGAATCTATAATGTTTATTACACTTAGTATTGACTATACTGTTTTTTTTCAATAAAACATATGAAATCAAGGGGTGCATTAGAGGCAAAAAATAAATTACTTTTCTTATGATAAGACTTTTATACTTAATACTTACTTCACCACCGCGTGAACGTATATTTACCAACAAAATCTTTATAGTACTTTAAAGCGGTAACTGGATAATAGACGTCCAAAAAAGAAAGGTAGACAAACAGTATTCTTGTTTGTAAATTTTCTTCGGTATATATTACATAGGCTGTATCATTGACAAAATAAGGTTGATTCTCTTTTGTTCTGTTTTGACATATAAACGTACTTAAAATCAATCTTATTGAAAGTTGATATTTTGCTATGAACCGAAGATCATTTTTAAATGAATATTTTTTTATACTTTCTAGCATTTCAACGGAATTTTCAAAATATTTTCCGTGAATTTTCGATAAATTTTATTGATTACTGTAAAAATCCTAGAGTAATAGAATTANCGTGAATTTTCGATAAATTTTATTGATTACTGTAAAAATCCTAGAGTAATAAAATTACATGTCTGCTGCTATTTAACTTCAAGTGATCAAGTCCAAAAAAATCTAACAAAAAAGTAGATCAATGCTATTAATTTGAATTAATTTTATTTCTCAACTGTTTAAAATAATATTATAAACAATTGTATTTTTCTCAAGGAACTTTCAGAAATATAATTATAAAAATTATACGAAAATGTTTTGAGAATATTAAGTAATATATTTAATATTTATTGAATGCTAATTTTGATCTTAAATATTAATTCAATTTTTCTATCGTAAAATTTGAGAATAAAAGTTTATAGCTATTTTAACGAGGAAAAAAACCTGGAATACTGGCAACTTTGATTATTTATTTACCATTATTAATAAGAAATTATTATTAGTACAACTAATAGTAGTAACAACTACTATTAAAAACAAAATTTTACATAAATGTGTTAAAGCAAAAATTTTATACTTTATATCATCTCAAGTTAAATCAAGGTATCAAAAAATTATAAATTATACTAAATACAAGATGGTCCATAATATTCTGATAAATCTAAGAGTTTTTGATCATTAAGTATTTTGCATTACTTCTTTTTAAACTATTATTACACTTTATGTCTCAAAATCGTCCTATTTTACTACAGAATATTTACTACTGAACATCAATAAGATATTATTTTTCGAAATTTTTTAAAAGATGGTTATCTTAATTTATTTAATTTACATTTTTCGCTAATTTAACAAAAAAGTTATTTTCTTAATAAATTAAAAATATTTTTTATGATATTTTATTTCCTTATAGTCTTAAGTGTAATAATAATTTAAAAAAAAGTATTCAATAAGTCAAAAGTTATTTGATTTTTCTAAACATCGTAGACCACCTGTATATTGATTGCAACTAATGATTCTACTCTGTCTAAAAAATGTTTATTGACTTAATGAAATTCAAACAAGTAATTAAGCACTCAATTGACAGTCGAATAAAATTATTAAACTTATTTGCTGTAGGCGTTTAACAAATCATTATATTTTATATAAAGTGATGTCATGGTCAACCATCTGCAGCTACTAAACAAGTTTTAATTGATTAGATTAATTTCATTTACGACATGTCCGATAAAACAATATTTATTGTGATTTATGTATACTCCACTGTTATTTGATAATACTTTAATATTTGTAGCCAAATTGTAACTTAATAAATTTAACGTCGATTATTAGGATTGTAATAAATTATCCCATAAAGTATTTAATGGAAACTCAATACTTTATTTTTGTAAAATGAAAAAAATTAATTCGAATTATATTTTTCATTAATGAAGAAGAAACAAGCATTCGCAATTTTTTTTCAATAAAATAAAATAAAATTATTCATTAGATGTAAATGTATAAAGAATATATATTATTTATATTTAACAAATTGTGAATAATGACAACGATTATGATAAAATCTTATTTTGATTAGCATATTATTTACAATAAAAGTTTTTGCTTTAATTAAGATAAAGATTACTATGAGACCTTATTTTGATTAACATATTATTTACAATTAAATTTACTATTGTCATATGGAGTATTATTTAATCTACGTGTCGTCTAACCAAAACAGCATTAAATGACTACTAATTATTTTTAGTTACATACATTATTAAAATTAAATTACAAAAAATAACAACAACAAAATAAAAAAATTAACTCACATTTGTTTATGTTAAGATTATAAAATAGAATATATATATATATGTATAGAATATAAAATCAAACTAAAAACAATGAAATTAATAAATATATACATTTCTATAAATAATTATCGCATTCAGTCATGTATACAAACTAGAAAATAGCGTACAAATTTTCACTCTTCATTGAGCAATGTATACATATTAGGAACAACAGTAAACAGATCACCCTTCCAAATATTTGTTAAAACTAAATCATTACTAGTAATATATTATTAACACAAGGTTACGCGAAAATTAGACATAAAGTTTCATCCTGTATCAACACCGTGACCTTGTATCTTATATCATCAATTTTTTAGCCAACACATATTAATTTCAACATGTTTATAACGAAAGACGCACTAGGTCTTGAAAAATAAATTGTGCTGACAATATTCAACATTTATGGTACGATTTTTTACCAAACAATGGCTATTTTAATGGCGTTTCGGACTCATCTCAAACACAAGATTATACTAGCGGTGGGTTTAAGCTGAATTCCCTCCGTACAACATTTCTAAATACACCATTGCTTAACAATTATTAATAAATTTCCAGTTGTTTTCTTTAAATATTATTATAATTATCTCGATTTTTTATTAATAATTCACACTATGATAATGACGAATCTTATAATATTAAAAGAATTATGTAGGAGTATTTGCATTTATTTACTTTTTTTCATGTGACCGGATATTATTTTTAATCTCGTTGTTAATGTATATTATAAATTACTTGGTATTTATTTATTTAATGTCGTTTTGCTATGATTATTGTAGTTTTGAAAACTAATAATTATTTAATAAAAAACCGGAAAATTGCTTCAAGTAAAGCAATTATTTCACGTTTTCTTAAAATCTATAATGTAGATTTTAACAAAACGTACAATAATTTCAAAACTACAGAGTTCTTATGTCGTGTAAACTTTTTAATTTACCATTAATCGAAACAAATATCCTATCGATAAAGTTTAAATAAATATATCATCTAACTATCCATAAAATTGCGAAAATGTTAAAATTTATTAATATCACGTTATTAAAATTAGTTTGTTAGTTTACTTAGCGCTATTTAAATTCATGAGCAAGTGTCTAATAACTTTTTGATTTTCATCCACAACGTTTCTCAGTTCTTTCACTTCTTTCAAAATTTCCTTAATACTCAACTGTTCGTTGTTTTCGCAACGATCTTGTTTTTTCCGTTTGACTAACGTTCGTATGGCGTCGATAATATCCCTCGGCAGTGCTTGTCTTTGATTTAACGGCTTCACCGTCATATATGCCCTGTTTTTGGACGGGTAAACCAGAGCTTTGCGTTTGATGCTTTTCGGCCAAAAGCTCCTTAACATGAATAACTCAATATAATGAATGAGTTTTATCTGACATCTGACTTTAGACAGACCGGCAGTTTTCTTTAAACCTTGTATATCGGAAACGGCGATACCGACAAGAAGATTCATAAGTATGATGGACACGAAAACTAAAAGTGCTACATAGACAATATAGGCACTCAATTGGGTCATTAATGGAGATTGGTTGTGCACTTCTAATAAATTGAGGTCCAACTCGCCGGCCATTATCACCAGTACTTTGACAAAACCGGTAATTGGATTATTAAACCACGGAGAATTCGGGAATACCACACAAAGGCTGACAGAAAACCCTATCAGTAAGCACATATAGGCCATTAGAAGTTTGGCGAATTCTTTTTGAACTTTAGTGTACATCGCAACGTAAGTGTCGAACCATGGTAGTTGGCCGACTTTGACCATTAAATTGGTCCAGGCGCAGAGAACAGAAAAAGCGCCCACGTGGTTTTGCCATTGGTACGTCTGGCCGAAGATGCTGAACGATATTACCGGCACGCTCACCAACACCAACCACTCGCTAAAGTTACTCAAATTTAAAAAGTACTCGCTTAGGTACGCGTAGCCGGCCATTTCTGATATTTTCAAGAAACTCTCTACTACGGCGATTACGTATAATACATAGGCGATTACGTCCATAATGTGATAGTGAGTGACCAGAAACTGGCCGACGACAGAGTTGTTCACACAAGATGAAATATTCATTTGAGAAAAATGAGCAGCGTTGTAACAATCTCGACTTAACACTGTGAGAACGTAAAGAGTGTAGAAAGTAATGAACAGAGCCAAACTCGCCAGACGCATCAAATAATATTTTCTGATTTTGTCCCATTTCAAATACAAAAACGCCTGGCACAGGGGGTGCTGCAACAACTCGTATTGTCCTTCTTCCTGAAAACATTTCAACAGATCGATCTCGCCGAAAGTGTTGCTGTCCAACAAGTTTTTAAACTTGAGTTGAATTTCGGGACCGCGTTTAAACCCGTCCGCCCAATTTGACGAAATGGCATTATCGAGCTGCCTACCGACGGCCGGAACACACGAAGGTAATTTGCGCACTATCATGTTTAAAGCTGATATACCGCCGTATGTGTGGATGCCTACATTACCGCCTCTGTGCAAAAGAGAATCGACGCATTCGGGCGCTTCGTTCAATGCTGCTACGTGCAGCGGTGTAAACCCGAAATGATCCTGGACGTTAACCTTGGCCTGGTAGCCAAGTAACGCTTCTACAGCTTGGCTCACGTTCAAAGTCTTGGCAGCGATAACCGTGTGCAGCGGCGTACGGTCATCAACGTCCCTGGCGTTGACGTCAGCGCCGGCTCTGACCAACGCTTCAATGCATTCGACGCTCTGCGCTTTGGCTGCCATATGCATTGGCACTTGCAACTTGGCGTTTTTGTCATGAACGTTACCGCCATGATCAAGCAACAGTTTGACACATTCTAACTGCGCCGACTCACAAGCCAAATGCATGGCAGTATTATCTTGATAGCCTTTAATGTTGACTAGAATTCTATCTGACATTAATAACATATTCATGCAATCGGCGAACCCTTGATCCGCACATATATGTATAGGGGCGAATCCAGACGAGTCCAGAACGTTCACGTCCACCGAGTACTTGGAGACTAGCAGCTTAATGCAATTGACCGCTCTGGCTTTAACGGCACTATGCAAAACTGTGGGTTCTAACCTACAACCGGAATCTACGAGCAGCTGTACAGAGTCCACGGAATCGGTGTAAGTAGCAAAGTGTAAGGACGACATGTCATCGACGCGAGCGTGTGGACTGCAACCGGCGTTAATTAAACGCTTTAGACATCGCACGCAGCCGTTTAGGGCACTTATGTGTACGGCGCCATAACCCCTAAACGGCAGTACATAATCTATGTTGGTGTCGGCGTTGACTAGGGTTTGAACAATGTCGCACTTGTCCAAGTAGCACGTCCACAACAATATCAAGTTTTTCAATTGCTGAGGACATCTTTTCAACACCGTCAAATCTGCCTGGTCGTTCTCCACCTCTCGGAGAAACTGAAAACCATTCGTGAACACTTTGGACGCGTCCAACAGACACTGTTTGACCATTTCCCTGTAATTGTTCACGCTCAACTCGTTGGAAAATCTACGGCCGCCCGACGTAACCGTTGTCTCCGTACCGCTCGGTTCTTCGACCTCTTCGACGAGATCCACGTCCGGCACTTTGAACGACACGGGCCGTTCCCGATTTATAGCTTTCTCGTGAAAACTAAAATACCTTTTTTTTTTGGGCGTGAGGTCCATTCCCATTTCCAGGTACTCTCGCGTACTCTGATCCAAACTCAGTCGTCGGTCCACCGACGCCTTTAGACTCATGTTGTTGGCGCTAACGAACGAAATGCGACCGAAAAACTTGCAGCTCACATAACACGACGTCGCACCGCGTACGAAACGCGTTCACTAGAACACGTCTTCGTTTTCCGTGTCCACTGTACCGGTTACGATGATAATAATAACAACATTATGGTGCTATTTCTCCTACCAGACCGGTTCGAACAAGTGGGAGACAAAAAAATACATACACATTATCCGGTTATTCGATGAGTCACAATAATTATTGTGCGATTCGGTATTTACGTCGTCGTGTGTGTGTTGGTATCAGGTAAAAACCGTACGCGTACCATTTAATGATATACATTTTGCGGTGAGAAAAAAATTACACGACTATACGATTATTATCAACTCAGTAATTAGCATTTCATAAAGAACAAAGAACAAAATCAACGCGTGCCAGGTTGTGGTTAATTTATTAAAACGATAGATTAATTGCATTTGTTACTCTACTAATATTTAAAAACAAAACTGTGTTTTATGCATCTATTTAAATATTTCTAAAATTGATGATACACGTCTAATAGATAATAATCAAACATATTTTATTTTGATTAATTTTCGAGATCATATCTACAATTTTTTAATAAAATTGACACACTCATTAATTTAATACCCACGAATAATAATAAAAGAAATAATACAATTTTAAATTATAAATTTATCAGACCGAAGATAAAGTTCGAAGGTTTGGTTGAAAGTTAATGAATAATTATGATCATTTGAAAAGTTGATTCCCTTGACTCATCATAAACACCAACTCTATTTAACGATTTTAATGGCTCTGTGAATTGATGAGCAAGACCAATAAGGAAATAATGTTCACCTACACAAAAATATGTAAAACAAGTATTCTTTAATCAACTATGATTAAATAATTCGAAAACAAAATACTTTCTATAAAAATAACTGGAATCCATTAACTCTGCGGAATTTGCAAAACGATAAATGAATTAAACGTGTCTGTGCGTTAGGAGTAATTAGAGAATTCTAATTTAATAATGTTCGCGAATTCTGTGTAAGACGACAAAAATGTAACTATGTATGAATTTACAAGGTTTCATATATCATTATCATCATAAATCTTGTAATTTATAAATTCCGGATATCAGAGTAAACACGTTCCGAAATATTTAATTGCAATGCATATTATTTAATTAATCTTAACATCTAGTAAAGTTTAGTGCAAAACATTATCAAATATAGTAATTATAATGGAAACAATAGAGTAATAATACAAAATAATTTTAAAAAATAACATTTATTATACCTTTACGTTGATTTTAATTATCTTATGATGTTTTCTACACTCAAAGTTTTTTTAATGAATAATTTAAAAATACCTTAATATGATTTAATTCAACCTATTAACATCAATATTTTGTTTGTATCAATTTCAAAAAATATGGTGTAAAATATCCTGTCAAATATAAGGTAAAGCCGACTCTTAATAAATGGGATAGATGACTGTGTAAAAAGTAAATCGTCACAAGAATTCGTTTAAAAACATTCTTCGAATAGAAACTTCAATATGTTGACGTTGTACCGAGGGATTTAAAAAATAATCCTGTAAAGTAGTCTATTTGTTATCCAGTGATACTGAGGTCAGGAAACATTTTTTGCAGTCAGTTTTTTGGCAGCATTTTATTTAAGCGAAAACTAACTATTAGAAATCGTCATTTCATTTTAAAGTCTATACTTCAATAAATTTGTTTACATTTTTAAGTATTATAAAAAAAACGGTTTATAATATTTATTATAAACCATAAAAAGAAGTATTTAAGTTGTTACTTACGATAATATTTTAACTTTAAAGTAACTTGCATTTTAAAAATTGTTTAAGAAGCAAACTCTTTTTATATTCTTGTCGTTATAGATCTAAAATTTGTAAATAACTTTGGAAAGTTTATAAAAAAATCCAATTTTTAATGATATTTTAAAACAATTTTTTTTGATTCCCTTGTTTCATTAAATAACTTAAACATAAAAAAAAATAATTAACTAACTAATTTAGAAGATCTTTCTCTATTTCCTTTAATGACTGTCGTTGATAGAATAAAAGGTATTTTTTTAAATAAAAATAAGTTAAGGTTTCTCATAAATGTTTTGCATCAGACTTGATATCTTCTAGCGCCAACATTGTCAAAAGGATCCATAAGGTCAAAACTTTAATTTTAAAAACAGATTTTTCCCTTTTAAATCATTCTTATACATTTTCTAATAATTGAAAATAGTATTTGTTACAGTTTCAAACTCGGCAAATACTGTTCCATATTTATTTTAAATTTGTCTAGTTGTGTAACCAATGGCTATTTACTAGATTATTATAATTATTCGTGAATTTTTTAACTAAGAATTATAAAAGAAGGAAACATAAATTAAAATATGGAATTTTTTTATATTTTTGCTAAAACTAATATTATTTAACGGTTCCATTAATAAAATAGAATCATAAAACGAGAAAAAAGAGTAATAAACTAACTAATTTGGAGGATCTTTCACTATTACAATTAGGGAAAGCCATTATTGTCTATACGAAAATCAAGTGGTTGTCTTTACTTAGAACTCCCAAATCATGCCAAAAAATTAAGGGCTCGTAAAAATTCATACCAAAAACTTGATTTTTTGTATTTAAATGCAACTAATTATTTAAAAAAATTAAATTTAATATTAAATTTACTTGGATTTTGTTTTAAAAATCCCCCAATACTTTATTCAAGTCATTAAATGTTAATATTTAACAATTCCTATTATAAGTGTTAAAACATGAAAAAAATAATAGCTATATATTTATAATTCAAACAATTTAGTATCGAGAAAACTGTAATTAAAGTGAATTTAACCTTCAATTTTGTGTAATGTTAAAAATTTAAAACAAGGAAAAATGAGATGCTACTTGTATTTATGTGTACCTTTATTAAAAATCATTAATCGCAATTTAATTGTCTTTGCATTTTCTCACATGCTTTTGAATTATACAATTACTAGTACACTTAAATTTGGTAGTAATATCATTATATTTTAATATCAATTATATTAGTTAATTTTTTATCAAGAATTGAGTGTAGAGCAGGCGCTAAGAACAACAGTGTCTTGTGTGAAACAATTATGTGGGGCCCTTAATATATTTTTTAGAAAAAAAAGAAGTGTTTTTGTTTCAGTAATCAACTTATATATTAAAGCGAGGCCTCGCACGAGGACACAATTCATACACCGACCTTAATTAAATGGTTCAGCGATAATATTATTAAATATAACTATTACAATTTTAATATAAGTATCTTAAATGTTACATCCTTCTGAAACTTAATTTCAAAAAAAAAAAAAGTAGATCATATTATTTGAAAAAATAAAATATTTTGGTTAATGCGTTCTTTAGATGCTAAGATAACGATATAAATTAACAATAAATAATTATTAAGACTAAAAAAGTATAACCAAAAAATATTCAAATTGACTAGAATGATGATTTATAAATTTATAATGATTAAGTTCCAGTGGTGCAACTAGAATGACATTTTAGAGATGCTAATAAGATCTTACGGTGTTACAACACATTGGCGTAGTTAGGAGGCGAAAAAGACCATCGGTAGCAATATTAATTTCTAAATTAAAGTGATAAGCAAAAAAAAGGTCCAAAATATGGAATTTTGAATATTATTTTACTATGCTCCTCCTTATAAAATTCTGGCTACGCCACTGATGTAATCCCCTGTAGATTTCCAGTACTTACACCATTATTAAGATTAGAAAGATTTTCAAAATTTCCAATACAACCCGTAAGCAGCTCATGACTTAAAATATAGCAATGTCTTCCTTGTTATTATAGTTGTAATAATAAGTCAGACTAATTATAAAACATAGGAGATGTAACGATTTGATGTATTTTTTCGTAAGAAATAAAAATACTTTTTTCCTATAATTCTTAATTTTTCTATAAAGTCTAAATATACTTTTGAGATACATCTTGTTCCACGAACAGTAAAATATTTTTGGATAGATACTAGTGCAATAAATTACTCTACATTTGTTTTTTTGGTAACATTCAGTGATAAATTTTCCAACGGGTATTTAATAACCTTTGTAAATTTTGCACTTTTGGCAGACATTTATTTTAAGTTACACCTAACTGACAACAGTGAATCTAATAAACCAATTTGAATTAACAACACTTTAATTACCCATTGTATAGAGCGTGTTAAAATAGCTAAGCTTAATGAATTACCCCAATTATGAAAATGTGGAAAGATTAATTTAAGTAACAAAAAATTATCTTATTCCAAGTGAACGATTGTAGCACTATTAAGAATTAACATAAAAAATTGTTTATAAATATTAATACCAACATAGTATTGTAATTAGTATAAATCATTTTTTTTTTTTTTAATATAAATTAAGTAAAACGTCCAACTACGGGTTATCACTTTGTGCATTTAGTACCCAAGTTAAATTTTAATGTAAATATATTTCATAGGTTCTGAACAGAATTGTCCGTGTTATCTAATGTTAGGAAAAAATTAAGTTCGCTAGAGAAGCTAAATATTCCTTTGATAATTATAAACTATTAGTAAACAGTTTATTTTAGCAATGAAACTAAAAACCTTTAAAATGTTTAGAAATTCGAAATTATAATCAATAAAACAATTTTATCTATATGAAAAAATAATTATATTAAACTATAATTTGTATATATTATAGTTATATTAAAACTTTTTTTAATTTAGAACTGTTTTACATCAATCTATTTTCTATGTAAAAAAATTAATTTTGAGGAATCGTCAAACATTTTAATGAAGATATATTAGTGTAATGTTTAGTAAGTTATGGATTTATCTTGAATTAATATCTAATGAAATTTTCATATTGTGTTTTTGTTTTATACCCAATTTAATTTTTGTCACATGGTAAATTTAACCCCAAATAATTATGTGCTAATTATCCACAAATAAATATTTGTTTATTATAATTTGTTACATAAAACAAAGTTTTGATTAAACATATTAGAATTACAAAGAACAACACTAAAAGAAGTTATAGGATTTTTAAGTGGGTGGTATGAATTAATAAATTAAAACTATTAATAAAATATATGTATTCAAGGCATGTCTAATGCATTACCATACCTATAATATAGGCATTGTTTAAGTATATTTAATGTATATATAATATACATTGAATGTTTTTAAATAATTCACAAGTAAAAGGGAATTTGACCATGGAAATTAAATGATAAGTTTGAAATTCATAAAATATTAATTAATTCCAGCTGTAATTAGTCAGTCAACATGCTGATAATAAAATTTAGAACAACTACAAAAAAATGAAAAATGAAAGTTCAGATTTCAATAAAAGAAAATAATATTATTTAAATATTGAAGTATGGTATACAATTTTGTTCATTAAGTATAGTACACCAAGGCATTAAACTTACATAGATAATTGTAACATACTACTAATATAGTGTAACAAAAATTTTCTCAAACAGAAAAAGTATTTATTTTTTATTCAAATTCTATATTTTCTAAACATTAACATTTTTATATACAGTCAAGAAAATTTGTATGAAAATAGATCAACGTTTTTTCCATGTGAACTTCCTTCTAGCTCTTGCTTGACCTGGCTTCTTTCTCTCTCTTCTTCTGAAGTCTTTTTGCAAAAGTCCAGCTACAAAAAAAAAAATTAAAATTATAAAAGAAGAATGTCGAACGGTTAGTTTTATATTAATAACTTAAATGTACAAATGAAAATAAAAAAAAACCCAGCACAGGGGGGTCGCGACACAGTGGTGACGTGGCATAGTTGGATCAAGTATAATGATATCTGACAGTGATTAAAATCACTATAAAAAAAAAACGCTTCGATGCAAATTTTTAGATAGTGTTTAATTTTAAAAAATTGGTGTATTATTCNATTTTAAAAAATTGGTGGATTATTCCAAAAGCTACATGATCTGCTAGTTCCTTATTAATATCCTGATTAAGATAAAGTATGTCGAATGAAAAAGAGATTATTAAAAAATATTATTTCTAATAAAAAAATTGTATTGATCCATATATTTTTCAAAAAGTTATAGCATAATAAAGTTAAAAATGTAAAAAATAATATCGAGAAATTTCACACAAAAATAGCATTCGGTAGCCATTTTCACCACGAAGACATGTCCAGAGGTCAAATTTTTTTTTTCAAATTAAAGTATATTACATTAGCTTTAATTTAAGATATACCATATAAAAGTATATAAAAGTGTCAGACCTTCCGAAACATTTTCAAAAGTTAATTTTTTGTAAAAAAGTTATCATTTTAAATCCCCCCCTGTGGCCAGGTTATGTCAAAATTACAAAAAAATGTATACCAAATGATAGATAAAAACATCAAGCATTTATAAAAAAAAAATTATCATGATATATTCATTTTTAAAAAAGTTACGGCAGTTTTTAGTAAAAAAAATTGAAAAAATGTCGAAATTTAGCGATTTTTAAATTTGTAATTTTTTTGGAGGTTTCCCCCATTTACGAGGAACGAGGGAAATGTTTTCAATTTTTGAGGGTAATTTCTTCGACTAGATACGATTTGTGATCTTTTGACGTATCGTTGAAAGAAATCCGTTCGGTGAGAGCTGAGAAAAAGTGGTAACAGACACAAAAAAAAAATAATAATAATAAACACTTCTTAGTAAAACCAATACCTTCTCAGCTTCGCATCGAAGCTAATAAATGGAAAAAATATCACATGAAAATCAAACTAAAATAAATATTCAGGGTTTTTTTAAGAATAATGACTAATCATACAAAATAGAAATAAACTAGCAGTTGGTGTTTGACATTTGATGAGAAATTAAGGAAAATGTGACAACAACTATATTTATTTAAAGAGAGTCAGTGACTTATTTATAATTAGATAAAAACAATACTCGACAAAAACGTTTAATTACCTATTCGCATTTTTTCTACGGTGTCGTTATCTACGAAAGAACGTAATCCCCATGATATCCCATACCGAATTGCTCCAGCTTTTCCTGATATTCCTCCACCTCGGACAGAAGCTTCAATATCCACTTTATCCACCATGTCCGTAAATAACAATGGAAACAATATCTAAAAAAACAATAATAATTAAACACTTTATCATATTATTTAATAATGAACTAACCTAAGTAGAAGTCTAACTAAGGAGCAATTTTAAGTAGTATAATATCAACTATAGAAATTATTTTTTAAGTACACGGCGGCGTTTCTAGAAAATATCCAACTAGAAAAAATAAAATATGTTTTGTTTTTGAAAAAGCAAAAATCTTTCATTTTTTATTTTACATTAATACAACAATTTTAAACGAAAATAGAGTTTTGTATTTTACTGTGTATGAATATTATGTATTTCCAGTGAAAAACTTGGATAGAACTATTTTTAAAAAAGAGATACAACAAATTCATAAAATTATTACGTTTTAAAATTGATGTATTTTTAAATCTATCAAAAAGTACTATTAATAATACGTACATTAGTCCGTATAGTGTACATATATTTTCTTGTATAAAAAGACGATACATTCAGTAATAATTTTTCAAAAACTATGAACTTAAAAAACATAAAATTGTTATTTTTTCAAATAAAAACCTTAATCTATTTTAAAGTGCCTATCATTATTTTACAAATTCATTGAGTGATTTAACTATTAATTTACAATTAGGTATTAACTCAACTAAATTTTCTAGTCTCAAGGTGACAAGTTAATGTATGTACTAACAGATGGTTATCAATTTCAATGAATTTCTAACTGAAAGCTATTACACAAGTTCTATGAATATCACTAATTTAAAATTTACTTTGTAAAAACATAAAAAATCACAAATTTTTACGAGTTTATAAATATTTATTGACGATACGCTAGCCACTAAAACTAAGAAACGGAATCGATTTGTGAATAATCAAGTTCGTAGAAAAAATAAATATTACATTTTGTATATTTTGAGATTTAGTATAAAACAATAAATGTCCTTTCATTAAAAAAAGGCATTTCTATAGGAAACTAATAAGATTTTGAACTACAATGAATGTATTAGTGCAAAATGCAAGAACAACTGATAAGGAAATCACAAAAGCCCTTAGAAAATAAGCAGACAATCAATTACCATTTTCGACTTTTTTTGTCGTTTGCGATTTGAAAATGATCACTCGATACATTTTAATAAAATACTAACTGCATAATAATTTTTAAAATAAACATTTTCTTAACTTTGGAGAACTAAAAAAGTGTTTAAAAAAAATCAAGCTTCAATGATTTGCTTGAAAGATGAAATAGATAACAAAAGAAAATATTTAAAACTCATCAAATTGTTTTTCTAAAATTCATAACATATTTGAATGTTTAGTTGATTGAAAAAATACGGTAAAAAGAAATTCCTGGCGATTATTAATAGTTTCTATATGTAGCGTTAAACAAGTGGAACTAATCGCGAGGAAGACATAAAACAGATAGATGAATGTATTAAAGCAAGTGTTGAAGAATGCCAAATTTTAATTTTTAACAAATAATGAGAAGCGATTTGGCCATTATACTCTTACGTAATGTCTAAAAAAAAAAGTTGCAGTTTTCAAGAGCGTAACTAATCATAACAGCAGTTTAATTTATTAAAAATATCTAAATAAAAAAAAACACAAAATAATAATTTTAATATTGATCTTAAAGTCAAAAATCTGTTTGAATCACACTCGTTAAATTCAGTTGACTATAAGCACTACTATTGTTACAATCAGTGGCGGCGGGGGGTCGATTAGCAATAATTGAATATTTTTAGTCAACACAAAAATTAAAAGAAAAATTCAGGATACGCCACCGATTACAATTAATCGAAGTCAATGATGTCGAAATGAAACGTTTTACAATGATGAGAATTCGAACTGGAAACAACAATTTCAAAGACTACTAAGTCATCGCTGGAGCCGATGAAAAATTGTGATGACAACCGGATATCGGTCAGACACGGTGGTGTTAATGACAAGAATAATTAATTCGCCAATACTTGCAATCGGTCAATGCGCGTGCAGAATTGCACAGACCGTTTTTATTATAATCCGGTAGTTATCGAACACAGTCACGGTGCGTTTATTCCGCACCTATGGCACCACGTGCGGTGTCCGTAACGGACCGTAGGAGGGGAGCACATTCGGGAGATACGCTCATATAGTTCCGGTGGTGGCCACTCTTCGCCTCATTGTTTTTCTCGCTCGCGGTGTCCGCCGCAATGATACACGATACATCGATGACTTCGGGACATAGTTACAGCGGTTTTGTCCGGCCGGGACATGTCCGTGTGGTGTGCGTTATAATTTTGGCAACCAAATGAGAAACTAATGTAAAATTTTAACAGAAAAAAAAACAATTAACGATCAATAAGGTCCGGTGATGGCCAAACAATTGCACCTAGACGTTGCGACTATCCCGTTGGATAGGACGATCAGCCTCAATGTACACAACCGGCACGTACCGTCCAAGTCGAAATCCAGCTCACCGTCGGTAAAAGACCGGTGGTACAGCTTTCGGGGTCGTCCGCGGGACGACCGCCGGTCCAACGTAGAGGAGTTTTTGTTTATGGAGAGCCTTCCGGACGAAGTGGCCGAGTTCCGTCAAATAGAATTGTCCATAATCATCTGCAAGGACACTATAAGACAAGACCTGATGGACTCCATGAGGACATGCAACGGACGATTGTGTCTACTGCAACAAGTGGAGCAAGGTACGTTCGACCCGGAACAACAGCCACCAGAACCTGCACTCAACCAGGCCGAACTGGACAGATTGCTTTGCTGGGCCATCTACGTTGGAGCCACCAATTACCTTGACTACCTATACGAAAACCGAGCGGATATCGGGTGCACGCATTGCGGTAGTTTTACCGCCATCCACCTAGCAGCCTTCATGAACAATGTTGACGCTCTGAGGTAAAAACTATACAGCTACGAGCATTTTCATCATGCAATTAAATGTAAAAATTGAGTTTAATTATCGCATACATTTGAGTGCATACGATCAAATAAAGTATTGATGATTTTTATTTCGAATGCTTCAATTATATTTTTTAATAAAATAACTCGTCGTATTTATCTATGAAAATTCGTAATATTTTGTACAAAATATTAAAAAATATTTCATGATGATAATAAGAGACAATTAAAACATTTTTATTCGTTAAAATAATAACATTAAATTTAGACGCCGTTATAGTCGGTCATGTAATTGGTACTCAGTTAAAAATAACGTACTGACAGTACCATGCCGTTTATTAATTGATTAATCAATTCGATCAAAATGATATAACAAATATAATTAATTGTAAACAATTGCTTTTTTTTCAAGTTAAAAAAAAATCGTACGAAATAAATAAATTTTTTAAGGTTTGTATATAACTTAAACAAATTTAATACATTTCGGATAACAAAATGCATCGTTAGTTAAATTACACACCATGACTGTTATTTTTTTTTTAGCAATAAACAGGGATAATTTTACAGACAGGTGAGAGATATAATGCTAATTATGAAACGGGATAATAATAAATAAACGAATAAAAAAAAAACATTGTACTTTGGTGAGATCAAATAACTAGATATTTTAAAATAATTTACTGACGTTCTTATTAATAAAGTTATACTTAAATCGTATATTTTTTAGGTGGTTAATCGATAAGAATTGTGATATCAACACTGTTCAAAATGGTTACACTCCTCTTCATTCTGCAGTAATGGGGAATGCTTTGGAAACCACAATGATATTAATTGAAAATAGGTGTGATATACAGGATACGGTATTACACGGGGCCGTGCAGATGAATTCACTGGAGTGCGTCAAGTATATTTTACAAATAGGAGTCGATCCTAACACATATGATGCCCATGGCAATACACCACTTCATTTAGCTGCAGATAAAGGTTATACGGAGTGTCTCAAGCTTTTGCTGACCAGTAGCACTAAAACCATCAACCTCAAGTCGAAAACTAGACAGGCAACGGCCTTACACATGGCAGCTGAAAACGGTTACACGCAATGCGTACGAATTCTCCTCAACAACGGATCCAGCCATAGTGTATTAAATGATAAATACCAAACGGCTTTGCATTTGGCTTCAAAGGCTCAATGCGCTGAATCCGTAGAAATTTTATTGGAGTTGGGAGCCGAGGTAAATGCACTAGACATTGACAAACGAACGCCATTGCACTCGGCGGTATGCAAAGCTTTTCTATCGTTCCACGTGGTCGAAGTGTTAGTCAAATGGGGCGCTGACGTTAACATACAAGACCGATATGGATACGCACCGCTTCACATAGCCGCTTTGAACGAATTGTCACAGTGTGTCGATTTTTTAATCATAAAAGGAGCAGACATTAGTTCCAGAACTATTGGCGGCATGAGTGCTCTGAGTATTATTAACCGAAAGACGCCCACGAGCATCAATACCATAAAAAAAAAATTCGATCAGGCCATTTCGTTGAACGACCCTGAAGCTTCAATCAAAGAGGTCGAACTAAAAATGGATTTCCGGTACTTGCTGCAAAACCCCCGTCACGGCGAAATCATTTTGCTACACACTCTGGAGGAATGTGGTCAGAAATCAATGTTGGAGCATCCGTTGTGCGAGGCATTTTTGTACTTGAAATGGCAGAAAATACGTCGTTTTTACTTTGTGCGTTTGTTATTCGATGCCATATTCGTATTGTTATTGACGGCTTACGTTATAACAGCTTTAGCGCACGATTGTTACAACAAGGCTAAAAATATAACTGTACAAAACCCAGACGTTTGTATACAGAGTAACTTATTCGGAACGCATCTCATATCCAACATTTGGATAATTGAGTGTGTTTGGTATGTTTTGTTAATGTTTACATTCATTGTGATTGCTAGAAAGTTGATAGGAATAGGGGGGTTCGCGTCGGCAAAACAATATTTTTCAAACATCACCAACACCATTGAATGGTTCGTCATAGCCAGCGTTTTTTTAACATCATTTGTTTACACGAAAAGAACCTATCACTGGCAAAACCATGTGGGAGCATTTGCTGTACTGTTCGGCTGGTCTAATTTAATGGTACTGATAGGTCAATTGCCAATATTCGGCACGTACATAGCAATGTTTACCAAAGTTCAAGCCGAATTTGCCAAGTTACTTTTGGCTTACTCTTGTTTGCTCATTGGTTTTACTATAAGTTTCTGCGTAATATTCCCTACGTCATCTGCTTTCAACAACCCTTTAATCGGTATCGTCAAAGTCTTAGTAATGATGACGGGAGAACTTGATTTGGACTTGTTAATAGGTAAAGACGAAAAATCGTCAGTCATTCTGAACATAAGTGCCCACATTATTTTTGTTATGTTCCTTGTATTTGTCACTGTTGTGCTTATGAATTTATTAGTAGGGATAGCAGTCCACGATATTCAAGGTTTGCACAAGACTGCGGGTCTTTCAAAACTCGTGAGACAAACGCAACTAATTTACTTACAAGAACAGGCGTTATTTCAAGGGTTTTTACCTAGACGCATCACTGACTTCTTTAATTGGAGTGCAAGAGTATCTCCACTAGCATACCGCGTAGTACTATATGTCAAACCGTTAAACCCAAGAGAAAAAAGATTGCCAAAAGAAATAATGGATGGCGCACTCAATATCGCTAGACAAAAACGTTTAAATATTATTGATTGTAAACAAGCTGTATTAGAAAATAAAATGGAAAATAAAGTGTTGGTCGAAGAAATTAAACAATTAAAAGACATCGTGCAAAATCAACAAAAACTACTATTAGAACTTATTAAGAAGTCTGATAAGATGCCATCATAGGTTAGTCATAGATTATACTTATATTATAGTACTTATTATAGATTATAATAAGTACTTTAAATAAATGTTATTTATAAAATATTATTTTAACTTGAAGTACTGTTGTTTTTTCATGATGAGCTTTATTATTTATTTTAGATAATAAAAAATAAAGTGATACCTTGTTATTTTTTAAACAAATAACCTCATACAAGAACAAAAAAGGTTTCAAATGTGTCATTTGTTAGTATCACATTTTCCTAATTTACTCAAAAAATCAATATTAAAATGTGTACAACAAATAAAGGACTATTGTTTCATAATAATAACAGCTGACATTTTATGTTAAAAATAAGTTATTAGATAAATCTAATCTGAATCTAAATTTTTCGTACTTGAACTTATGTAATTAATCAATAAATGTCAATTATCAAATTATAATTCAAAATTTTAAAATAAAAATACTTTATGTGTATCGAAAAATAATATTTTTTAGTAGTAGTAAAAATTTGTTTGCACAATCATTTTGTTAGATCATATAATAGTTTTAATGTTTATAAATAATTATGCGTTCCAATTATTTACATATAAATTTAACGTTCAAGTTTTTAATGGATATATAAACAAAAACCAGATAAAATCTCAAGATTGTGAATTTTATTTCTAAAATATACAAAACAAGGCATAACTGGAATAATTTCGGTCTAGCATTCAAATCAAATTAAACAGAATTCCTATCTTTTTGTATATTTTATAAAATTAAAAAGAAATGCAAACTAATAAATTAATATAGTCATAATTTTCAATATCTAATATGAGAAATAGGAATATTTTGATAAGAAAAACAGCCTCAGTTCAATTATATGAATTGGAACATTTTACATATTATATATAAATATTAAATTTTTAGATAAATTAAAAAAACTTGAAATTTCAAAAGCAAGAAAAGTTACTATACTTAAAATACAACTATACTTTGTTTAGACTTTAAAAACCGCTTAAATACTTATGTTTGAAACATTATTAAATTGTTTTTAAGTTTTAAAAGTCATAGCTGAAGAGTTTAATATAATATTGAGTATCTCTCAATGGCAAAATTAAAGTTTTGTTCTGTAGAGATATAAATAAGAGAATTTTTGACTATCCCTTTAAAACAAAAAAAAATAATTATAGGTTCAACATAATTTTTTTTTTTTGGATGGGATCTTTTCCTTTCATTTTAATCCTTAATTATGATCCAGTTATCTCCACTTTTTACAAAATTTTTATTTTTATATATTCAGATAGAGAATAATTTTGTATGGTTATTGGCCCTACCAGTCTGTCAGAAAACCTAATATATAAATTGAAATGCCTAATACAAAAATTTTAGTACTATTAATGTTTAGATTTCTGTATAATTTCAATTAAAGATCAATATACTTTACCTGTTCTCTCGGTTGTATATCTTCAAAAAATTCTATACCTTTTCCATTTATTGATAACTTGCCAGTTCCTGGATAGTAAACTGTGACATCAGCTCTAGCATCTTTTCTAGGGCAATCTAATAAAAAAATGTGCATTAATTACTATAGTCATATAATTAATAAAAAAACCAGCACAGGGGGGTCGCGACACAGTGGTGACGTGGCATAGTTGGATCAAGTATAATGATATCTGACAGTGATTAAAATCACTATAAAAAAAAAACGATTCGATGCAAATCTTTAGATACTGTTTAATTTTAAAAAATTGGTGGACTATTCCAAAAGCTACATGATCTGCTAGTTCATTATTAATATCCTAATTAAGATAAAGTATGTAGAATGAAAAAGGGATTATTAAAAAATATTATTTCTCATAAAAAAATAATGTTGATCCATACACTTTTCAATATGTCATAGCATTATAAAGTTAAAAATGTAAAAAATAAAATCGAGAATTTTCACACAATAATAGCATTCGGTAGCCATTTTCACCGTGAAGATAAAATAAAGTCCGAAATTTTTTTTTCGCATAATAAAGTAAATTACATTAGCTTTAATTTGAGATATATAAAAAAGTGTCACTTTCCAGAACACTTTCAAAATTTAAGTTGAAAAAGTAAATTTTTTGTGAAAAAATGGTCATATAAATATATACCAAATGATAGGTAAAGACATCATGCATCTATAAAAAAAAAA